TGTTAGGATGTGATGTACGTTTTAGCAATGAGGAGGATACAAGAGTGTAAGTCTTTCATTATTATGAACTCAGGCTCCACATTCCTACTCTTTCTCCTCTTGGTACAAGTTTGAACTGTATTGAACTCATGCAGATGGAACACAAAAGTCATGCTTTGAATCTCACACTAAACTTCACAGCATTGGAATTTGACCAACTTTCCCCCCCCCCAAAAAAAAACTTTTAACATGTACAAGATTTACCAAATTCATCCAGATTTAGCATATTTTTCTCTGACATAAAAATATCTCTCACTGCTGCCAGGAACAAATTCTTTTAAACAAGCAATACCACTATGTACTACAATTACTAGATCTTTTAACAAAACCAGTTCTATGTAGAAGCAATAGAAGGACCAGATGCAAAAAAGCCATCTTGATACATATTTTTGGTATATATTATGTGCATACTACTAGGTTACATTTTTCCTCTTCTGTTTCCTCTCCTTCATCCTCACTCCAATTTCATATAAATTTTCAATTTGTTTCACTTGGTGTCTCCTTAGGAATCTTTCTCTGAGTCAACTTATTTATTCCTTTCTTAACAGGATAATTTTGTTCAACTTCAAGGTATATATTCAGTCCTTCAATGTTTCATCAAATTTGGAATAAGAGGAAAGAAGTCTGTATACCATTATGAAAATGCCTTTATTTTACTGCTTATTTAGAAGACATATACTGTGATGCATAAAATATTAATCTATTATATCATAATCTATTTTTCTCTCAAGGTTTTCCTATCAAATATTCTAGGAATGCTGCAAATAGTTACAAGTTAAGGTGGATAAACCAGGCAACATTCTTTAGGACACTGTAGTCAGTTAAAGAAAACTTTTAAAAAATCCTCTATACCCTGGAGGTAGAATTTGTCAAGATGCTCACATAATTGAAATTTTCTACGGCTGTTAAGAACCAAGAGAATAGAAGTTCTTCCCTCCAAATGAAATCTCACTGCCAGATTTGTATGACATTTCATGATCCAAGCTTAATTTGTTATACATTGTTCCCAGAAGGTGAGATGAGATTACATGGAGCCATACATTAGTTAGAAGATTTATTTTACACTTACCCACTCAAAGTTCCTTTCTAGTTATTCAAACAGAATAGAGCAATCTTGATTAGTTAATCTCTCTACATCAGCGTTTTTTCCACAGAGCACTTCACAGAAATGTTTTAAAATTTCACCACAATTAAAAAAGCAATTAAAAAGGATTATCAAAATCAAAGTTGATCTTTAATTACTGCCAATATCTAGATCTTTATTCCATGATATACTAGATAAAATACTCTTAAAAATGCTTTGTTAATAGCTTTTTATTATAGAGAACATAAGAAATTTCAGTCTTTTGAGGCACATCCCATTTTGGATCAACTTCATTTTCAGGTTGTCATCTAAAACTTTATTTCCATCAATCTTTCCTTATTATAGCTGAGTAAGCCTTTCCTTTGTCTGCTGCCCACCATAATAGGCCACCTTGCAATGACTTGAGAAGCATGATCTGATTCTTGAGAAGCTGATTACAACTGTAATTTCTCTTATGGAAAATTACTCTCTAACTCCATTCCCATAAGAAAAATGTCTTTTGCCATCAGTTTAGTTATGTCTGAATATGTGAATACTTGCAATCAATTTTTGGTCATTTGGACTTCTAAAAGTATTGCAGGGCCATCACTGTTTTTTGTTTGTTTTTTTCCTCACACCAGTATTGGCACAATGCTGTGTTAGAAGTCTTTATTGTTTTACAGATATTGCTGAAAAATAGTTAATGAGCAGAAGTAGTATCAGAATAGCAAACATCTTCAGGGATGATTTTAGCATGACTAGCCTGATTAGCTGTAGTATGTGGGTGAATTGTAGGGAAGAGAAGAAAAAAAGTGTTTGTTCATAGGTCTGTTCTGTGTTTGAACACATTCATGGTTAAGATTATATCAACAGTAAAAAGTTCTTTTGCTTCTCACTGTCACTCTTCTGTTAGGAATAGTGGTGTAGGATTAATAAGATAAGTACCAGAGAAGTACCTTTTAATCTGTGTTGTTTAATCCATAGAGGACACTGTGGTAAGAAATGTCCAAGATCCAGGTTCTGTCTTCAAGTTTGCCAGTGGAATTGAATTACCACAGAGAAAAAAAAAAAAAAAAAAAAAAAAAAAAAAAAAGTATATATTTATATATATATATATGTTTATTTTGTAGATAAAGCATAAAGCCTGGCTATGGATGTCAACATCTTATCCTTTGAGGTATCCGATGATAGGCTGTCCTAGGCAAACCTTCAAAAAGCCTTAATATAAACTCATGTCAGCTATAAGAATAAACGCCCAGGTATTTCTTTCTAAAATTCCTTTATGGCCTGACATTGCAAGACCTTGCAAAATATAATATTTTAATTGAAGTAGATTTTTTTATGTAGACAAATGCATTATATCCTGTATTTCACATTTTATATTTTGCTCATGAGAAGTGACAGTGACAATAAAAATATTTTGCTTATTAGATTTTCATTCTTTTAACCTTTTTTTTTTTTTTTTTAAACAGAACCCATTTTCCATCAAATTAACCAGACCTTCTTAATAAGCAGAATTCAGATGAGAATAATCTATATCTTACTATTTTGATGAGTGTCTAATGACTGGAATCATTATGGGGCTGATGACATTTAAGAATGGTATATAAAATAGAAAAATAAAATTAATTTATTATTTATGTCACAGGAGAGGCTAGAGACCCAATGTAATATGCATTATATGTTCCTGAGCATAGAGGAAAAATCATTTCTTTCCTGGACTACACTAAACTCAGATAATTGGTCACCAAGTATCTCAGCTGGTCCAAGGAAGAATCCCTGCAGCTTAATTTTGGATTGATATTTGTCTAGGCCTTTTTTTTTTTTTTAAGAAAAAAAAAAAAAAAAACAAAAACAAAAACTACCACAGATGGCAGTTCCCACTGTGATTCTTCAGTACTCTACTTATCCTTACAAGTAGGAAGTTCCTCCTCCACAGTATTTAGACTAAATCTTTGCAAATGAATTTAAACTGATCCATCTTTACTTCTGATCACAATAGATGTGAAGAATTAACTACTAACAATTCCCTTCCTTACAGCAGTTGTTCTTTTCCTTCTCCTTCCTTCCTGCCTTCTTGCCTTACCTTCTTTTTCCTCTCTCTCTCAATATCATCACATTGTTTCCAGCTTTTAGTGTAAGCTCTAAAAGTCTAGTTCTTTCAATATTTTCTCAAAAATTATATTTCTCCTCTTCCTCCTTTTTAAAAATAGGTGATAATCTTTTTCTTGTCAATACTCCATAATTACTGGGGAAAAGAAAAAACAAACAAACAAACAAACAAACAAAACACCCCTGTTCTGGAGTTTGCTGCAACCAATTCCAGAAGTAGCCTAAATACTTGAACTTCACCAGGTCCAGGCAATTTGAAAAGATCCAAGTACTGTCTAATCTCTTTATCCTCACTTCTTCTCAACAGTTGTACTCTCCTTGTTAGTAGTATTAATTATATTAGCTGTTTTATTATTATTGGTCATTTTATTTAAAACTGAAGATAAAAGACATTAAAAATATTCTGCTATTTTCAGAGTATAAAATATCTGTCATTTTCATTCTCTACTGAATAACAGATCAACTCTTTATTCTGGTTCTTGTTTGTTAATGTTTCTATAGAAAAATGCTTTTTGTTTATTCTTTGTATCCTTAATACCAATACTTCGATCTATTACTTGCTATTTCCAGTTTCACCCCTACATGGTCTATTCTTTCATTCCTGTATATTAGAGTAGTTAGTCCTTTAATACAGGTTCCTTGAGGAACTTTCCTCCTGACCCTTCATTTCCATGAGATCTTATCTCCCAGTTCTTTTACTTTATTAGACTTATTTTTTTTTCTTTGTTTTAGTTACATTTTTTCCTCTGCTCACTTCTTATGCACCATGATCTCTGCTGTTCCATGTGTGTTCTCATGCACCCTGCCATCAGGCATTATGTTCTCTACTAGTTTTCACTTTCTTCACTGGTAGGAACTCCTTCTAGTTGCTTTCTCAAAATTATATGTAAAAAAATGCCACCAACCCATCCCATGAGATACCTGGTCAAAGTACTTCCTATTCTCTTTCTTACTCTAGAAAGCTGATTCTAGATATCAAAAAAAACAACAAACAAACAAAACCAAACCAAACCAAACCAAAACAAAACAAAACAAAACATAAAGGACAAGAAGAGAAGCAGACACAGAGGTGTCAAGCCATTTTTTGTTTTTAGATAGTAAGTGACAAAAAGATCCATTTTCATGCTGATGAGCAAACATTATTTGAAGGGTCTCACCTTTAAATCTTACTGCCTCCAAAACTTTCTATTGTAATTAATTGTAATTTCTATTGTAATTAATTGTGTTATCATTTAAATAACGTATCACTTAAAACCAGACAACATCTTCTGTTTCTCACTGAATTACCATATTTTTTAAATATGATAAAACCTTTGAGGCATAGTAACAGAAACAATGAACTTCATGCCGTATTGAGGAAGCTTGCATGATGTACAACTGCATTTACACTCTATCATATAAAAAGTAAAGACAATAGTGAATTCTAGCTAACTTAGAGCCCTTGAGCCCAATCAACATTATGGTCTCAATAGCTAAATTGTTTCTGAACACCTTCATTAGAATTCAGTTCCAAATATGGATGCCTATATTTATGCCTGGAACTTACTTATCATAACCTAAAGCACCTAAAAGGGCTCAATTCAGTTTCCTTTTGTTGGGGTACAGTGGTATTTGAAGTGATAATTTATCCCAGCAGGTGCATTGTTAGTAGGTGCATTGTTAGGTGCATTGCTCTAGAAAGATGTCAGTCCACAATAGGTCCTATATCTTCCAGCCCCATACTAATGTCTATGACCAAATATTCTATGGCATCTCAAATGATGCTAGATAATTTTATACACAGAACTGAATCAAGTCTTCTGATGTCTGAGATTGTATAAAATATTTATCTTGCAATATATTTATTAATATATAATTTTACAAATATTTGTACTTATAAATCTTTATGGTGGTTAATTGCTTTAAGTTTTCTTTATGCAATTTTTGATTGAAACTATTTAATGGCTTCCAAGTCATACAGTATATACAGTAAATTATATACAGTAAATTTATAAGGATCACATTTACACTGTTTAATTGAAATTATTTGAACATGTAGACTGAACTCCATCTTCATGAGAACATACACAACTATGTCACCAGAATCACACCATACCTCTCAGCTTGACAGCAATAAGAGACACAACACCCCATCTAAATTAAATTTGTACCAGGTGCATTGAGAACAAATTTCAAAAGTACATTTTGAAATGTATTCTCTTGAAAAAATTACAGAGCGTTCAACCAACAAAATATGAGAGACACCTCAATTATCCAAAGTAAGTCTATGAGAAATAGCAAATAATTTAAACCAGTCCAATGCTAAATAGAGGGATTTTATTCTGGCCTTGGGGGGTAAAACTTCATACAATTTACACTGTGATAGGGTAGTAGGAAGAAAACTAAAGCTCTCAAATGTAGAAAAAAGTAGTTTTGGCATCTCATTTGGAAGGAGTTGTCTGACATTTAGAATGAGTTAAATATATGATTAGCTTTTTTTTTTTTAAAAAAAACAATAACATGACCTTCACAATCACGGCATTTATTCCTTAAATGTCAAATAAACTTTTGGACCTTGTGAATTTTAAAACAAGCCCTCTAAAAATGTTTCATCTGTTATTAGGGCTATTTTTGTGCCAAATGATTTCAGTTATAAAACATTTTTCAAATATTGTATGCTGTTGAAATTCAATGGGATCTCATACACAGACAATAACAGAGGCTTATTTTTATTATTTTAGGACAGGTTGTTTTTTCTCTATTTATTTTTCTACTCAAAAACTTGATTTTCAACAGAGATTGCAGATTTTTTCTATTCCAAACAATTTCTGCAGGAGTTTCGTGCCCCCACAGCACTTGATGGGACTGGTATTTCAAGAAAGGATGTTAACATTTTCTCACAGTGGATCTTCTAGCTCTCTGGCAGGATGGTTGGCCTCCATGAACAACTTTAGCTTCACTCCTATTAGGAACAAAAACAACACACTTTCAAAAAAGCAGGTCTGTGGACTTAAATATGTATCTAGCATATTTAAACTACATGGCTGAGTTAATAGAGCCTGATTCTTGCCTTAATTGCTCCATAATCATGCTTTTACATAAAACCACAAATTTGGATTTCTAGTTCTGTTATACATTTTTATTTTTTTTTCCCCTCTGAATATATGCCTTCAAGATTTTTTAACCTAATATTATTTAAGGTATTTAAAATTCATATTTTCAATTTAACATGCTAGTTCTCATGTAGCACTTGCATATAAGCATAGCATATATACTGCATAAACCTAAATATGTATGCACTTACACATTTAATATTAATGCCTACTCTGGTCATCTAGGGCTTGACTCAAAGTAAGTGTCAAGTGTCATCTGAAGTACTGTAAAATATTCACCTGACCTCCAACTGTTTTTCCACAGGGGCATCTCATCCCACCCCCCATCCCTATATGAATATCTGGGGAGCTTTCAAATGGCACCAGAAATATACTTTGGGCAAACTGTTATTTTGTGGGTCAAATATCTTAATCTACATGATAGAGCCCTTAAATTTTAGATACCTATACAATGGATCATGAAAATGAGCTGGGTGTCTGAGGTCAATAAAGAGTTAGATAAATGTCAGGGAAAAGAGGGAAAATAACAGAAATGAGCTCAGCATATAATGATAAGAATAATTATATAACGAAACTTTTATAAAGTTCTTCAGAGTGGGAAAGACAAAGAGGGCAATTATTCTCAAGTTCCTTCCACCCCCATTTGGAGACATTAGAGAAACCCTGTATCATTACATTATACTGCATCCTAATATATACAAGATCAAAAGCTCAACTTTTGCCCTGCAGCCCTCAGAGTTTGCAGGACCCTGAACCCAACTTGTTTGGACTAGTGCAAATTGGTATATCCAAATCAATAAATCCCTTATTGGCCTCTTTAACTCAGTCTGAACTTGTTCAGATACCAGCCACACTGAACCCCTACCAAGACAGTGCAAGCATTAAGCAAGTAACAAATCTTGGGACCAGGTGAGATTTTGTGAAGCAATGGCAAAGCTAAGACCTTTTCATCTAGGTTTATTAAAGTCATTCTTCCCTCCAGAAAAACTATTTGGTCATCAGTGTTTTCAGACTTGCTCTCATGCAGAAATTTTATGCTGCAGCAAGACATGAAATCCCAATGTTCTCAAAATCTTTTCTTTATAATATCTGGATTTTTTTCTTAATTATTTTCAGATTAATTTCCAACTAATACATAAGGATAAAATTTGGCTCATGACCTATAACCCTAAGCATGTTGTAATTCTGTTACCAATCTCCTGATTTCATGGGGGGCTTAACAAGCACCATATGTGAAACACTGAGTTCCTCTGCGTTAATAATGCCTAACGATCCAGGGAATCTCTGTGCTACTATCCTGCTTTACAACCCCATCAGAATCTCAACAGTGGCAATTCCAAGGTCTGCTGAAATACGTTTTCCATGTTCATGTCTATTTTCTGTGTCTCAAGGCTGCAAAGGACCTTAATGCACCAAATATCCATCCATCAACCAGGCCAGAACATTCTCAAGCTGAAGTGTGTTGAGCAGCATGGTGGGAGGAGCAGGAGAAGGCTTTAGACTCACAACTCAGTGTGTCCTGCTGACCATTCCCTTTCAGCCAAGGCTCTGAACTCACAGGTCTTTTATGCTCATACTCCCTTAATTTATTCCTCCATATTTCTTATCTGTTTCCTGCTTTATGTTCCCACCACCGGGACACCCTATGAACATGTAGTGAAACTGATTACATTTAAAAATGATCAGGTTTGGTGTGGAAAACTGAGGTTTGGTGCTTTATTTAATCTGGTTGCATCCCTAGGACCACTTCACAGTGTGGCTGTGCTGACGGTTATGCCAGTGTGAGGTTTGGCCTATAGGCTTCCAGCTGATACCCTTCTTCAGGTGATGCACTAGGTGGATGCCACTTTCCCTAACCCTTGCTATTGCTGTGTTCATGCTGGAAACTCAGACACAACTAATGGATTGTGTAAGAGTTCCAAATTACCTCAATCTGCATTAAATAGCTCTCAGTACAGGGGACTACAGGTGGTTCTGGAGATAGTTGGAGGCAAGAGTTTCTCATCTCTCCGTTATTGGTTCTGACCTGAGAAAAGAATCATTAACAGTAGTAATGATGAGGTCAGCATATGATATTGTATCAAATGGTAAAACACATTTGGCATGTTAGCAGTCATGTCACTAACAAACCTAGGATCCAGAGCTGAACTATCTACTCATCCAGATGTCTCTGTCAACACAGATGTTTGAATCCAAGCTCAAAGATATTCATGGGAGTACTTCTATTAACTGCAGTGGGTTTTGTGAATCATGCCTGATGTACAGGCCATGTTTCCTGCTGCTGTAAGGAAGTTTGGTCTTATTTGAAAGAAATGGCTTTAAAATCACAGGCAGTTCTGCCATGTGTTGTGAATTTTCCCAATAAGGTCTCCTCTCTCCTGAACCTTTTGCCTTTCAGGAAGGACTTGGTTTTTGGTACTTGCCTCAGAAAAGGACTTTTTGCCCTCCTTCTACTACTTGGTTTGCCAGATATCCTTCAAAAATTGCCTGTCCCAACAGCAACCCACAGAACTTTGCCACCTTGACTACATACTTAATGTTTTCTTAAGCCCGTATATGCAACAGCTCTTACTACACTCTATGGATCTAGAGTATAATCTGAAAATGACCTTCAAATCTAATGGTTTGCAAGCCTGTGAGGGAGATAAAACATTATATTTGATAGATCTCTGCAAATGTGGGCAATTACAGATAAAAAAATCCTCATTAGCACCACTGAAATTCTGTGATCAGCTGCATTCACAGTTTCAACCTATAGAACATAGGACTGAAAAGGCTTCACTGATTTCTACATTGGACCAAATGATAACCCTGACAATAATGCAATCCTGGGAACCCTCACTCATTTCCATTTGTTACCGTTGGGGCCACAGGCTTGCGCAGATCAGCCAACACACTCCTCCAGACCTGCACTTATGATTCAACAACAAAAGCCCAAATGCAGAAGGTTTTTTCTTCCTCTCCTCCCTCCCAAATGCTACTGATCGTCCTATTACCATGGCAACCAACTCCTGCTGGCATGATCAAGAAAAAACCTGATTTGGGATTTTAATTAATTGCTTGGAAATGGAAATGTAACAGTGACTGGCAGTTCAACTAAGCACATTTGCAAAGTGAATAAAAATAGAGTTTCTGAAATACTTGAAATTGTTTCACTGGATATAACCCACATTTTTTACTAGACACCTTAATTTATTCTGTTTCATAAAATAAACCTGCCAAATGTACTAAGCCATTTTGTCAACACAAATCATTTGGCAAATACTTTAATCCTTCTTCTTAACAAAATGTATTGTATTAAAAAAAATAAATCTAACCCATCAGTATAAACCCATAGGTTTCATCTGAACATATGCCTTTTTCACCATTAGGTCACGTGTATAAAAGGCTTTCATCTCATCCTCACAAAAGAGGATGTGTTTCTTTCAATGCACGTGATCTCTCATTAACATTTATGGCAGTTACACCCCCATATTCAGCAGAGAATGGAATAAAAAGGCTTTTTTTTTTTTTTTTTTTTTTTTTTTATCTCCAGTCTCAGTCTTCAAAGAAAATCAAGTGGTCATTGTTTGCATATACCACCACCCTCCTCTGGGTGGTATCTGCACTGCTGAGGTGGGTATCGGAGGTCCTGTGCTGCTGAATCTAGAAGCAGCACCGTTTCTTTCATGATTTTTAGAAACAAGAAATTTCATGATTTTTAGACACAAGAGGATCAGGAAGCTATCCTTGCCATCTCTATTCAATTCTGACTACTTAACATTTTTCAGCATCATGTTATTTTTTTAAGGTTTTGGGGTTTCAGGGTAGTCGTAATTTATATGTGCATACATAATTGAATTTTTGTTTGTTTGTTTATTTAAGAAACAAGAAGAGATTGTGAAGGATGTAGATGTTCTACATCACACTTAAAACTGGATGCAAACTTCATCAGCCACACTGTGCTCTTCAGGTAACTCCTCATTTTCAATATTGGCCAAGCAGGTAAGAAATACAGCATTAATGTTGTTGTAAAAATATAATAGATACTTCCCAGTGACAACATGATAAGGTTGCACATGGAGACAGAACTTTCAATAACATTGTCCAAGGACCTTGTTATTCGAGGGTCAGGTCAACTTGGTGAAATCAGGAGCCTTGCAACATTGACAGCTACCTAACCTTTCTTCTGAGACATTTTGCCTTTCCACCTCCTTTTAGTCTTTCCACCATACAGGCTAATGATGTCTGACAATGAAAGGTAAGTGCAAGCAATTTTACGTTAACTTATTTCTACATATTTACTAATTTTCCTCTGATAAGCTTTTGTCAGACTTCCAGATTTACAATATTTTGTAGCTCCCATTGCCATATCAATAATTCACATCACAGGATTGTATCACTGACCCAGAAGATGCTAAACTTCCTCATTCACTGACTTAATTACATTTGAGAGGTGACTCTTCTTGACAGTTTTCACACATTTGCAATGTTGCTCATTAGTCAATATTATCCACTCAGCCTCTGACCATACTCTTCCATATAATAGACATGCTTGGTGAGCAGTGTTGGATGACCTGAATTGAGGTTAATGGACTATCTTTAAAGATTGCACGACAGGGCCAGAAGGTGTCCTGGAAAGGTCATCTCTTCATTCGCAAGCAGTATTTATTCACCATAGCCCACTATTTTTCCTTTCTTTTGTGACATCTTTAAAATGGGAGTAATAATTTCCATTACTGGAATACATATTAGTAGCTAAATATCATTAAGGCAGTAGAATTGTGATGCAAAATGAAAACACAAGAAATCTGGTGATTATTTATGTCTTCAACACTCTATCACCTATTGGTATTTCTAAGGCAACTATCTCTGTGTTATCTAAGCACTGTAATATAATACAATCACGCACAAGTTGTATCTAAGTGCAGTGGGTTTTAGTTATTAATAACACAGCACTTATCTTCAAAGTGCTTCAAAAACTAATTAATTCTCACAGCACCTTCTCCCTGTCAGGCAGGTGAGACAACTATTATTCCCATTATACATATCATTATGATTATTACTTGAGGAAACAAGGTTAAGTTCCTTATCCTATCTCCCAAAAGAGATAGAGAGCATTAGAAAGAGCACCTGAGCTCAGACATTAGGAAACAGGGTTTTCTGACCTGTTTTGAGACCACTTCAGCATGCCTTATGCCTGGGAAACATCACTGGTAACATCATAATTACATGCTTTATTAAACACTAACATGACAAAACAAGATGGGATTTATATATATATATATATATTTAATCTGGGATCAACTATGCTTTATTTATTTATTAAAGGACCCTAACCAACCAGCCTGCTCCATGCCATTCAATGAGTCATCCAGATTCACCAGGCTTGTGAAATAATTTACTGCCTTGGCTGCTTCAATTTCACGTGCTTCATTGTGTTGGCATTATTTCTCAGCCAAACTTTACTGCAATAAAGCACTCTGAATTTCTACTTCTTCAAGGCAAGGAAGGCACATGAAAAAGAGGAAATAATAATAATAATAAAAAAAAGTATCTTAGAGCCTGCTTATTAAACTGTTCTGATTCCTATATAGTCCAAAAAAAAAAAAAAAAAAAAAATCTGCCTGATCATACTATTTATAGCTCTATCTCTTAGGGTAATACAATAGTATAGATATCTAATGCCATGTGAACATGCATTGAAGAACTAATTCTATTTCTTCACTTCACTGGCCAGCTTGTATTTAGAACTATGCTCAGAGATACTGCATAACCATTGGTAATATCTAATGACATTAATTATATAAGGTAGTTAGAGAAAGCAAAGATAAAAGCATAACAGTTGTCCAAGTGAAGGCCTTATACTAATTAGCCTCATACTACAAAGCAACCTTATCAAGCAGTAGGATGACCTATAAGTTACTTAAGCTCCCACTTATTGTGTAATGATGATACAGTGGGCAGAAATTTACTAACTGCCTCCTTGTAGGAGAGTACCTTCTCTGGAGTACCTGCCAACAAAAACATTATGTAGCAGGATGAAAATGTATTTTAATAATTTGCTGAAGGTCAACTTGACAGTGTACCCATTAAGTATATACATACACACATACACACATAACTTTACTCCTATAGAATTAAAAACATTAGACATTGACTATTGACACACCTGTATTCTATAAGGATGAGGAGCAAACTTCAAAAGGTTGGTTCGAGTTTCAGGAAAACACTCCAAGCCTTTGAGGTAAAATTCATCCGCCCTAACTTGGATGTCTAAAAACTAAACTGCTAAGTCTGAGCTCGTCACCCCAAGCTCCCTTTGTGGAGAGAAATGGGCACCTCCAGAGAATGATTCATCTTATCCCATCACAGATGTCTCATATAGATTGGATGATTAAGTCCCTGAAGGTGCCCATTTCTCTCTCTTGACTAAGAAGTGGACATAGATCACACTTGGACAATTTTTTTTTTTTTTTGATACAAAATACTGTCAGATGAATCCTCTTTTCCTCAAGTTATGTCCCAACAATTTCACAGTCTCACAGGAAAAAAAATAAAACAAGTAGAAAAAGGAGAAAAAGTAGAAGGTGAAGGGTTTTTGTTGTGGGTTTAGTTTGGTTTGGTTTTGATACTTTTCTCTCTAGGTAGAGCAGGATTTCAAAAATACATGTAAAATAGCACAAGAAAAGGAAGGAAGAAATGACAAGATTCAGAAAGAGTTTGTGACATTCTTTAATTTAATAAAAGAAGGACCTGTTGGCAGGACACTGTCCATTCGATATATCTCTACTGAGCCATGATATACAGACCTCTATTTTAGCAGGTGAGTAATGTCTTTGACTTCAAAAAGATCATACAGTCAGTGAAAGCTGAGAACATAGATAAATGCTTTCAGGATCAGGCACATAAATTAATTAGAATTATGCATTTAAATACCTCTGTGGATATTGGCCTTTGTTCATAATCTTCCTTAGTCGAAGCTTCAGTCCATAACCCTCAGAGAACATGACACCAGACATATTTTCTGTCTGGAAGGGTAATGTTGAGAATGGATGTAAGAGGGAAGCAAAAAAGTTTTACAGTTTTAGTTGGACTGTACGATCATGATTTTATTGGCAAGATTTGTAGATTGTTCCTGAGATATTCCTATTTATGTAAAATTGCTGGAGACTATTTATTTCAGAAAAAAAAAAATAGTGGTAAGTGTTTGCCAGGAAAGGTCTGATTTTTGAAAGGGGATGAAGGTACTTTTAACATTTCTATGCATTTATTTAAACAAATATACAGTAACTTGGAAAAAAAATCCCCAACTATTTCTACCCAAGTTGCTTAGTCACTTCTGAATGTGCTTTAACTGCAATGAACCTTAACTACACAGAATCAACTTTGCAAAAACTTTTCTTGTAAAGACTTTCTGTTCTGTTTGCACAATGTTTAGAATAAATAAATAAATAATAATAAAACCAAGTATATATTCCTTCCCCTTCCCCCCCCCCCCCAAAAAAAAAAAAGTGCCTAGATGGAAAGAAGATCCAAAATCATTCACCCACCTTCTATGCATGGCAAACACTTTTCTTGTCAACTTTTTCCTGCCATTTCAGAAGAATTAAGCATTGCAAAGGGCCCCACACACATTCTGACACACACACACCACACATATCTCATTTTTCAGATGAGAACTCCAGGGTCGATGGAAAACAACAGCTCAAAAGCAAGTGATTCTTGTTAATGTAGCTTGGGTGGGCCATCTCTCAGGTGAGAAAAGGCACGCTGCAAAGCAAATACCTGAGGTGACTTCTTCTTGTTTGAGTCTATCACCCTTAGGGCTGTGTTCCTTTGGCTAGGGATATCTGCTGATCTTCCCTCTTAACAGTAATTATGCCAGACAGTTTTTTGGCTTTCAGTACTGCTCTATAGGTAACATAAATCATACAAATTATTACCACAATACTAAACTGTAATTACCCACAGACCCTGACATGCCAAAAGGTGTATTAATTTGATAATATAATAAATACTTTACTGCATAAAACTATAATTATTACTTCAAAATTGACACTTATACCAGCTTCATTTTTTTTTTTTTCCAGCAGGCAACTCAATAGTATATTAAACAACACCAGAAATTCTATTTAAATTCAATGAGATATGTTAAAATATAATTTAGTAGATTGTGGAAAGCTTTTCTTAAAGCTAAAAGTCACTAGAATTAGTTTGCTTTTTGGATATTATAATACCTAAAGCAATAAATTATTCAGTAGTTAAGAAGAAAAAATCATATCTGACAAGAAGCCTGGGAAATGGGAACAATATCAAAAACACATCTGAAATAAAATTGATGGGGAAAATAATTTACAAATCAATGAAAAAGCTTATTTAAGTTGCTTTAAATACTATCGGAAAAAATACTGACCCTATAGGAGAAAATTCTACTTTTTTTTGTGCATGTGTGTGTGAAAGGGATGACACAATATATCTGTGGGAAAAAACTGAGGTCCCAATTCTGTAATTAGATGGGTGTGGACAAATCATGACACAGCTCCCATTTTTGTTTTATTCAGTGAATGTCTAATACAAAATACATAAACAATCCTGGGAAGAGAGGTCATAATACAGACATGCTCCTTCTCAACTGGGCATCTGAACAGCTACAAGATCAAGTCAAGCTCCCATTTTCCAGTTTCTTTGCAATTTTCTTCTTCGCCAGTGTCATTTCAGTCTTGTGGGAAATGAGTCTTAAATATACAAAACTTTCTTAAACTCAGGGAGGAATGAGCTTGGTTTTCCCTTCTGATTGACTTTAACTGCCCATTACTTTGCAGAAATCAGTCATATACAACACCATTGTAGTATACTGAACTCAGTGTTTTTATGATAGGCTCTGCTTTAGTTTGTTTTTGTTACCATTATTTAAAAAAAGTAAAGCTAATGATGGCAATCTTCATAAGCATATGTTTCCAGTTTTCCTCTAGTGATCTGATTGCTAGTGATTTTCATGTTCTCTCAATTTTCTCATTTTTACTTCAGCTTGCAAAAGGGAAAAAAAAAAAAAAAAAAAAAAAAAAAAAAAAAGAGAGAGAGAAAAGAGAGAGAGAAAGAGAGAGAAAAAATATCAAAGGAAAAGAGAATATCAAATTTATTTCAAGTTTTCATGTTTTCATTCCTGTGTGGTATTTCTATAATTTATGTGTTTACACTTAGGTATTTGCCATAGGCATCCTGTGTATTCAAAGTACAGCTACAAGTATCTTTGAAAGAGGTAGCAGCTAAATCAGAGGATCTTCTTCTGCACGTGCTTCCACTAGTGAAAAAGCAGACTGCAGTGACTAGGTTAGCATCAGAGAAGATGAATCTCTTCCAGAGTTTCTGTTTTTTTCCCATTAACAAAATAGACAATTAAAAGAGAGGAGAGAATTCCTCAGAAGATAAAAAAATATAATAATAAAAAATAAAAATAGAAATGAATGGGGGAAAAAGAAAAAGGAAAAATATTTTAAAACTGAAGATTTCTAAGTTTCTGTTCCTAAAAATAATAATAATAATAAAATATATATATATATAAATGAATTTGTTGAAGGAGCTGAAAATATGCTCATTAAAGAAATTGTAATTTGTTTTAAAATACTTGGAAAAGAAAAAAAAAAAAGTTTTATGGAGGAAGAGCGAGTCTGGTATCTAAACCATTTGGTAGGGAAGCAGAAGACTACATTTCAATACCATTGGCTAATACAGACTTAGATTGAGAAGGGATTTATTCTCTATATACTTAACTACAAGATCAGCATATAGGCAAATGCAAGAAATGTTGGAAAGGTACATATTTTGAAGATTCCACATTATGAGAAAAGAGACCATGAAAAATAGTGAAAATGTTATATGTAAATGTTATATGTAAATATTTATTCAGCTTCTGTGTAAACAGTCTTAATGAGGTGAGTTCTTCGGTTCCTCTTAGGGTCATGGAGGATGACTGTTGTGCAGCTTTCTCATTAGCTTTAGTAGTTGCTCTTCCAATGCTCTTCCACTGATTAATTCGAATGAGGCAAATAGGTCAATGAAACTGCTTGGCAAGCACTTTTAGTCTGACCTATTACATGTATTATATAAGGCTGTATTAACGTGGTTCTCCTCATTCACATATTAGGAAGACATTAAGGGAAGATGTGAGGTTTCTGGTGACATTCATGGGACAAACAGTGAAATGTTTCTCCTCTATGTGAAGAAGAGGAAGAGCTTTCCACAGAAACATTATTTTCAGGGAAACATGAGCTGAAAAATCACTATGTCTCTGCTGAGATCTGGGCAGAATTATTGAGCAAAATTGAAAAATGTTGAGATGGGAAAAAAAAAAAAAGGAAAAAAATCGAAATGAGAATTTAGTATAGAAGATATGAAACATGTTGTTCAAATCCCTTGCTTACCTTGGGAAAAAATTAGGACCTCAACTTCAGATACATGTATGAGTTCCTTTGTTAGCTTTCTAGGCAACAGCTGGTGAACACTGTCTAACAGGAACCCAGAGGTGATTTTTTTTCTAATAATTTTCCAAATTCTAGGCTTTTTAATATACAAAGTGTCTTCTTAAAGATATATTTTTGTGTGTCTTTGTAACTGTTTTTTTTTTTTATTCCTTCTGCTCACAGATATTCTGCTCAGCAAATTTTCTTTTTGAATGCACATACTGACAGTAAATATAAGTTACCAAAAGTCTTAACCTATCCACCCATCTTTTTTTTTTTTTTTTTTTTCCTAAGTGAACTATTACAGATAACATTTTGAAGTGTCATGTTGTTTCATGGAAATAACAGCTGATATACACAGTTGGAATTTCTTTTTCTTTTTGCAGTACTTTGGGGAAAGCAGGGAAGAAAATAAAAAGGTCATTGTGATTGCCTAAATCTTTCCTTTTAATAATGTGGTAGACAGTCAGTGATGATGATGTGATTCATTACTTGCCTATAATGTTAATTATATATTATTAGGTGTTTCACAGAATGATAGCTGGCAATTGGTGATATGATTCATAAAGAGGTATTGTTAAGCAAATCTGTAAATCTGTTTGATTTCAGTTAAAAGAAAGGGCGATAGGTCATAAGAAGTAAAGAGAAAGAGAGAGAGAATAAAGAAAAGACACTGACATAATTTGCGGTTCTACTTTTATATGAACAACAAGGTTTACAGTGAAGAGCTGTTGGATACAGTTTCGGTGAGCAAGGATTTTGCAGGGAGATTAGATCAGTTACAAATTGCTAAATCTGATGACTTAGATAAAAATTTAACCAGAGGCTTTGAAAGAGGTAGAACATGTTTCTGTGGAGAAGTGATTGCCCCGTACTTCCGAGATAGAGCTAATCACAGACGGCCGCACTGATTATACCCGCAGTAAAAACTGAACAGGGAAGAAATCATTCATTTAAGGGAGGATATCAGTTTCTCATGGAACAGACTGAAAACTCCATCTCACTCTGCAAATGCACCCTATCATTTGGGAAACCTCCAGAAACCAGTCCCTCAAATGGACTATAATGTACTCTATTCCAGCGTAACTTTGTCAGATCTGTGTTAGCAGCCGAAAAAATTGAATAAATTTTTATTTCCTCCTCCACAGTCTCTGTGAGATTCCAGAACCTTTTCCCATAACACACACACACACACTCAAAAAAAAAAAAAAAAAAAAAGAAAAAAAAAGACAGATTTGCCCTGAGATAAATACTCGTAGGGTTAAACATTCATTCCAGACTGGTTGTATCTGTTTGTATCTGCACTTTATCTGAGATTGGGAAAGGGAATTGAACCTACATCTTCCTTGCTCCAGCAAGCCATGACTCGTTCAGAGTGGACCTCATTCTTTCACTTATATAAGTCAAAAGTGAATTATAGATCTGAAATTCTGTTTCACAACAGGGGTACTGCCCATACAGGCCCATCTCACAACTGGATTTCAGTTTTCAGGAGTAAGTACTACCTCACTAGAACTTCTTGTTTAGAAAATAAATAAATAAATAAATAAATAAATAAATAAATAAATAATAAAACATAGAAAAACAATTCAAACATAGATTTAATTTATTAATTTTAATAGCACTTTTAGTAGGGAATGCTCCTAAGAAAAAGAGTGAATACTGAAGTTCTATTGTCTTGTTCTCAAAGAGGTTTATATCTCTTCTCTCACATAATATCCCAATGAAATAACATAAATGTCATTTATGTTATGCATCTCTCATCTATTTCCTCTTCTATGCAGCAACAAACATCCTAACGTATGTGGAGAAAGACAGAAAAAATGCAGTTTTACCAGAACTTCAGTTGTATTAAAGTACATGACCTAGAAATACTTCATGGAAATCTTTAATATCATTTACTGGTATGTATTATTTCTTAAGGCAATGGTTTTATGGGACAAAGATAGGCCTGGGAGCTAGGAATTCCTGAATACCATCTTCAGCACTGGCTTGATTGTCTATTGCCTACATATCACAGTGATAGGGTGATTTATTTATAAAACATAGATTAGATTAGCTCAGACAAGATTAAATTACATAGAACAAGTCACCTAAACTCTCACTGTCTATTTCCTCATCTGTGATATCTATATTTACCTATTACACATGGTGACTGCAAGGATTACTTAATCTCCCTGAAGAATTATCATGATTATCATTAATCTGGAACACACAAAACAAGTCCCGATAAATAAAGAAGCTTGTGATTCATCTGAGGTGGAGCGAGAGTACCAAAACAATTCCCATCTGAAAGTTAAGCATTGTTGATAAAGGTTTTTATGATGGCTTAATGTCATGTTAGGCATCTAAAA